ATAGATTTTTAAAATTTCACCGTTAAAACAATCTGTTAATTTCTAGGTCCTGTCCAGCAGGCCCTATCTGTTGGCAGGAACATTCTTTTTTTTTTTCCCCGTGTCAAATATTTATACCTATTTGCATATACAACTTGTGTCTCTGCCTTTTCTAAGCACATGGTTTAATCATTCATCATACATTCATGAGGAAACGTTGAATTATACACTGTGGTACATAAATACAACAAGACCAGTGTTGCATATAAAGCAAAACCAAAGGCACAATCAAGAACAAAGTTATACAAAATGACTTGGCAATGATAAAGCACACTGCAAGTGAATTAAACATGAATTTGTAAATAATATGGTACATGGAAACTTATTAGTCATAAAATATTTCCAAAGACAAATTGTAGAGAACTGGTCAAATTCCCATAGCATCATACAGTTACTTTTATTTTCAATAGTTTCTGAAAAGCAATTTTGTCTTCATCAGAGCGATCGATAAGCCTGATTAACATTCCAATTCAGGTCTCAAATTTACTCAGCATTCTTTTGCATGGTGTAAAACTACGTTTCAAGGGGCTGGGAATTTAGCTCAGTGGTTCCACCACCAGCTTTGCAAGCACAGGATGCCGAGTTTGATCTCTGGTACAAAAAAAAAAAAAAAAAAAAAAAAAAAATTGAAGTTCAATGTTTTCAGTTTCTGACATTTAATCTCCATTATCATACTTTAATTTAAAACTGAACAATGAATTTAAGAAACATACAATGGCTAGCCTGCTGTTCTAGAGACCACACAGTAGATTAGGGTAGCAGATACAGCCTTATATAGATCCCTAATGAAATACTTCTTAAACAGAGGGATCAAAGAACAATCACAAAAATATACGTGTATATATGGCTCTTTAGATAAGAAATAAAGTCAAGTGAAAAAATAAGGCACTAATAACATAAATGTTACATACTCATCACACAGCACCATATGGAACCTTAAGGAACTAAACATCAGCGTACTGGAAAATGAGAATGGGCCGTTTCTCTGGCTTTTATTCACCAACTTCTTCCTCTCTTTTCAGTAGAAATATTAAAGTGGTGAAAAAAGTTATGTACCATGGAGAATTCATAGAACCAACAGCATGAAACAATCACTGGGAAATAAGTTGATTATTCTAATGATGTAAGAAATCCGGTCCTTTAAATACTCCTTATTTTCCAATTCTGCCAAATTTATAAATATCAAAGTGAATATTATTAATGAAATGACTTAAAGATAAAAATTAAAGAAATTTCTTCAACCAGGCTCATTTTAAACATTACAATAATATGCATGTGGTTTGGAAAATGGCTATGAATTTCTCAGGAAAAA